TTCCATAAGACTGTACTTACATAGATAAAGAGTATACATAGTAGTTATATATCAATAATTAATAATAAAGTGGTTGGCCACAACATAGGTCCTCGGTGAAGATGATGTGGTCTATGATGGAGTGACCGTTGTGGCTGATGAGGGTCGGATCCGTGTACCCGAGACACGGGTACACGTGGTCTCCGAAGTCGGCGTGGCGGGCATTTAGGTCGCCTAGAACAATAGCTGGGGGGTTTTAGGCGACATAACGGAGGAAGGAGATTGGGATAAATTGAGTAGACGTTCACCGTCTTTCCCTGCCAGATGACGGTGGCTGCGACGACGTTTGGGAGAGCGTGCTCCGGTGGGATTGCAAGCGGGCGGGACGGCATTCTGTGGCTGATGGCAAGGGCGACTCCCCCGGACCTCCGTTCGCTGTGCTTCTGATAAGTTTGATATTGCGTAAATTTAACTTGCCGATACGGTGTACTTAATATTTCCTGGATGGCCAGGATGCCGACGCTCTCGGTGGCGAGCAGGTTGTTGATGAGCTCGGTCGCGGCACTTGATTGGTGCTGCCAGCTCGGGAGCGAAGGGCCTTTGGGCGTCTCGGGCAGCTGTGGCTGAAGGCTGCGTGGTCTCCTCCGCAGTTGGCACACTTGATCTGCGGCTCCTGCTGCTGACACTTGCTGGTGGCGTGCTCTCCGGAAAAAAGGCCACAAGCTGGTTCCCGCTCGCACGGGGTGGTGAGGCCATGGAATTGCAGGCATCTGCTGCACTGCGTTGGCTGGTCCAGGGGCGGATGGGAGGCCTCCGCGCAGATTATTTCGCCAAGTATCTTCAGTCCCTTCTGAAGGAGCTCGGCGATAACTCTGTCCGACAGGGAGAATATGCGTATCAGCGATGTTGGTTTGTTAGTCTGCCTGGAGATGATTCTCCAGACTTTAACCGCCTCTGGGCCGCGCACTTCAAGTGCGTCTTTTACGTCCTCTTCGCTGATCATACGATGAACACCGCGAAGCACGCAGAAGTATGTGGTGTATTTCGTGGTCGGGCGTCTGGGGTTCCTGGCGTGGTGCCTGGAGGTTGAGGTGATGGTAAGGGGGCTTCCTATTCTCCCTGGGAGCTTCGTTAGCCTCTCACCGAGAGACTCATCTCCGCTGCTGATGAACACGGTGCGTCCTCTGATTTTGATGGTCTCGGAATCTCTGTTGAAATTCATGCGGAATTCACTCGTGCAAAGCATTCGGATCATGTACCGATGGTTCACGGTCTCAGCTGGCAGGTCATCTATGCGCCATTGGTAGGTGCTGCGCCTGATTGGTGTTGATGCTGGCGAGGGTGGGGTGGACGGTCTCGGAGAGGACGGTGTTGAGGGCCTCGGAGATGGTGATGCTGAGTGCCTTGGAGAGGGCGTTGTTGTTGGTGACTTTGGAGAAGGCGTGTTTGGTGGCCCTGGTAAAGGCAATGGCGATGTCGATTACCTCCTAGGAGACGCAGGTGTGGACCTCTGACGTTTCTGCGAGCACCGCGATGGAACTGCGGTAGTCTTCTTGGCCGTCGCTGTGGAGGTTGATGGTTGGGCCTTGGAGGCGGTGACAGCTTTGAGGTACGAGCTTCTCGATGGGGCATTAGGCTTTGGGGTAGATATTACCTTGCTGTTTGCCCTTCTGATCCGTTCGGCCTTAGTACTGGGCTTGGTTAGCGGCATGGTCGCGGTGTGGCAAGCTGAACGTACTCACTCACAGTAAGCACGGGGTCAATGCACTGGCACTGCCTCGACCGCACTGCGGAACGCACAGCACAGCACGTGGTAGCCACGAGCTACGTAACGCACAGCACGTGGTGGCACCAGGTGGCACAGGATGCACAGACGGCACAACACGAACAACACACAATTCAATTCAATTTCAAAATTATTTATTCAATGTAGATACATACATGGTGTTATTATTAAGGGGTGGCGTACATGTGAGCTTGAGCTCATTTAGCCATAAACATTATGGGTTTTTAATGGTACAAAAAAAAAAGAAAAAGTTTTACAGTAAGGGTTTTTTTTCAATAATTTAACAATGGTTTTTAGCAATACAAAGACGAGATGCGAAGACGTTGGTTGATTTGGTTGATTGATTAATCAGGGTCTGGTGGGCGGTGGTCTCGTAAGCGAAGGTTTGGGTCTGGGTGGAGGAATGTGGGTTTGATGGTACTTAGAAAGTCAGTTATGTCGGGGTCGTCATGCGGGGGTGCGTTGTGGGCGAGGACTGCCGGTGGGAAGGGGATTTTGTTTTTGAGTTTGCGGGTGCAGGCGGAGATTGGTGGGCGGGTGTATAGGGTGCGGGTGGGGTGGTTCGGGGAGAAGGTTTTGGCGGCGTGTCGGCCTTGGAGTTTGTGGATGAAATCAGGGATTTCAGAGTTTGCTGATGAAGTCGGGGATTTTGGGGAGTGAGGCTAGGTCGTGGAGGTGCGCGCTGGGGTGAAGGTAGTGGAGTTTGAGGATTTTGCGGATGACGTTCCTCTCGAAGCTGTAAATGCGCTGAAGGCTTGACTGGGTAGCAATTGTGAGGATGGTGGAGGGGTAGGTGAGGACGGGACGGATGAACGTTTTGTAGGTGTGGAACAGGGTTTTGAGGTGGCAGCCGCCGAGGGATGTGCGGAGTCGAATGATTAGGTTGAGTCGCTGCCTGGCTCTGCGGATGGTTTGCGTGATTGTGGGATGTGGGTTGAGCGTCTGGGAGAGTTGGATGCCGAGGTATGTAATGCATTGTGTTTCTTTAATGTTTTGTTCCCAGAGGGTGATGGAGAGTCTAGTGTCGCGGAAGCGGTGGGTTCTCGGGTGTCGGAAGCCGATGAGTTGTGATTTTTGCGGATTCGGCTTGACGCGCCACTTCCTCATCCATTTCTCCAGCTTGTTGCTGGCGTCTTGGAGTGTAGCAATGGCTTGTGTAGGTTGGCGGTGGGAGGTCCAGATGACCGTGTCATCGGCGTACTGTTGAATGTGGCATGCTGTCTGTGTAGGGATGGGGATGTCGCTGCAATATATGTTGAAGAGGATTTGTGAGAGGATGGCTCCTTGGGGGACTCCCGCGTTGAGGGTGATTGGTTGGGAAATGGCGGAATTTATTTTTACAGTGGCGGTTCTGTTGTGTAAGTAGTGGTGGAGGATTTTGGTGAGGTATTGTGGGAAGTTAGTGTCGTAAAGTTTTTTAATTAGGCCGTCGTGCCACACAGTGTCAAAGGCTCGGTGGATGTCGAGGAAAAGGGCTGGCGAGTATTGCTGGGAGTTGCATGCGTTGGTGAGATGTGTGGAGAGCTTGAGGATGGCATGCTGCGTGGAGGTTGCTTTGGTGAAGCCGTACTGATGGGGTGGGATGATGTTGTTAGATGAGCAGTGGTCGTTAATTCTTTTGAGGAGGAGTTTTTCGAGAAGCTTTCCTATGACGGGGAGGAGTGAGATGGGACGGTAGGAGCCTGGAAGGGTTGGGTCTTTCCCCGATTTGGCGAACATGAGCACCATGGCTGCTTTCCATTGTTGCGGGAAATGTCCGTGGATAAGGCAAGTGTTGTAGATTTCCTGCAGCCACTCAATTGCGGATTCCGGGAGTCTGCGGACTAGGACCCAGGTGATGCCGTCGTTGCCTGGTGCCGTTTTCTTGCTTTGGCTGGCAATGGTCTCCGCGATCTCTTCGGCGGTGATGGGGTT